AGTGTTTCATTCTGTTGTGCATAGAGTCACTATGAGTCAGTACTAGCTCGATGGCACCTGAAAACAACAACATCTAGAAGTGGAGACATAAGAACCTCAGTGTTGAAATTGATACTATCTTATAGAAACAAACAAACAAATGAAAAACACTAATTAGTCAATGCAGCACCAAACAACACCAGGGAGAGAAAGATCACCAACCATCATTTTATAGGATTCATGTGAATTGGATCCCAGGTGCTTCAGTCCTCTAAATAGATCCTTATAGGGGAAGAATTTAAAAAAACAAACAAATAAAAACAAGCACAGCTCAGTAATTCTGATGGCCCACCAAGCAGAAAATCTCTTTCCTCTTCTCAGAATCTTGCTCATTCCTACTTTCCCCCTCAACCCATACTAATAGCAAAGCCTTTCTTCTCATTATTGATGGATCTTCTATCTTCTCTTGGAGAATCACAACCCTTCTACATTTTTCTAAAAGTAAAAAGCTCTACTTATTAGCCTTAGTGTATCCTACAAGTTACCAAAAGAGTGACAGTTCAAATCCACCAGTTTAGTCAGTCACAAGAGGACAGATATTGCATAAGATTATTATTGTAAAAGCTTAAGAAATGAGCTCCTAAAATGATATAAAACAATTTTTCTTTGTTGGTTATCAGTATGGTTGGAGTGGGAGGGGTTTGAGGGAGGTGGAAGGAGGTAACAGTAGAGCACAGGGTAAGGGAATATACATCATAGTTTGGGTGTTGGGGAGGGCAGTGTACAAGAAGGGGGAAGGGTGGAAGAACAAGGTAGGTAGAGAACACTGAGAGAGGTTTGCATGGGCTAAATGGGACAGAGGTAAATAATCATACATGCTCAACCTTGGAACAACAGGGCTCTGTGATATAGGGATCAAGACATAGTTTGAAGAGGGGAAATAATACTAGGATGCTTGACTGTCTTATGAATATTGGTTTTCCTTGCCTACTATTGTAAAATGGACATGTAAATTGGATAGAAAGGAATGTTGGGAAACATGATTACAGAAAGCTTGTAAGCCCTTTTTCAGCCTTTAACTGATTGGAATACCTAAAAGGGGTTCTAGAACGTGCCCAGTGAAATGGCCTCCTGTGGAGCCTTTGCAGAGTATAGGACCTTAGGTGGAATCCTGAGCCCCATGTAGAACCTTCTGAGGTGGGACATTCCCACTAGAAAGGACAAGCAGACCAGCCTGGAACAGCTGGAGTGACAGATGATACATCTTCAAAGAAAGATCATCAGGAAAAACCCAAAACAAAAACGGAAGTGTGACTGGCTACTATAAGAATACGCACGTTGTTCACCGGAAAGCCATCAAGGCAAGCAATCAAGTTCCTGCAGGACAAATCCCCCTCTAAGACTGAAAATCAAAGAGAACACATGAGCAGGCATGTAAGCTTGCTGGTGCCCATGTTGGTCTACTGGTGAGTGGAGGAGGGGGAAAGGGAGTAATGAAGAAATGTGCTGAGTTCAACCATGTTCCACAGACTTCCGTTGACCTGGAGATGAGAGAGAGAAGAGGAAGGGTTGGTTGGTCCAAAGTGTGGTGAAGCCTGGGGACACCTGAGCCTATGGACAATGACATAGCCACAGAGGACTATAGCTGAGAGAGCAGCATCCAGCTGATATGAAATGAGAAGAGGCACACAAGAACACTCAAAGTTGCAGATAGTACCCATTAGACCTAGCTTCGATGGCTTGATAATCAGAACTTGACTAGAGGAAGATTTAAAAAAAAAGAAGAAAACTACTTTTGATAAAGGAAATGAGGGTAAATTGCTACAATTTGATGAACTTGGTCTATACTCAAGGAGATAGTAACTCTAAATACCAACAGAGAGGGAAGGCGTCTTCACATCAATTATCAATGTTATCCCTTCTGTACACAGGGTAGATAGGGATGGGTAACTTAGACATTGGCTACCTAAAATGGGAGGCAATAAAGGCAAAAAGTGACTGGCTTACAAGGTTTCAAGAGGGAGTTTAGTTTCATAGTGTGTGGGGGAAGAAAGAGTCCCCACTGAATATTTTTCATCTTGTCTAGATGGGTCTGATTAAAAGAGATGGTTGATAAGATTCTTATGATTCAACAGTGAGTAATTGTTATCATGACTAATTGCGACTGTCACAATTGTAAAGGTACAAGTTTTGTAACAAAAACAGGGAGTAGTTAATCTTACAGTCCAGAAACAAAGGACGTTAGGACCAGGGAAGGAGAAGAGCCTGGGCTGAATGCGGGACCTTATCCAGAGAAGCAGTGATACTAGAGATGGAGGTAGCCATGGGGACAGGGAGAGAGGGAACAGCTGAGGACTCTAGATTCATGGGAAGAGAGGGACTAAGAGATGGCAGCCAGGAGGCTGACTTGCAGAATGTGTCCTTTAGTGGTGTTAATTATTATATATGCCTGAGTGTTTAAAAAAAAAAAAAAAAAGAGCTGAAGTGAATAGAGATAAATACTGTTAACTGATGTTACATGGAGGGAATTATAATCATTATAATGAAATAAGGTGTATGATTTATTACATGTAAAGCTGATGATCTGCTCTGTAAACTTTTACTCAATCCACAACAAAAACCTTAAAAAAAAAAACCCCAAAACATTTACCATTTTTTTAAAAAAGTACTTGTCCAACTATATTCATCATGTTGTTCAACTAGACTTAGGTTCTATATTGCTTCATTTATACCCATTTATAACTACTGAGAGCTCACATTGCTATCATTGATTAAATAACAATCAGAATAAGTCTGATGCTGGGCAAATGTATTTCAAGATAGAGTAGAATGTTTAGTAAGAGTTTGCATAGCTGAGCTATAGAATGGATTTGCTTTCAGGGAAGAACATTCTCTAGAAGAACATTGACATAGAATACATTATTCTTGTATATACAGAGAGAGGAAGAAAGAAAGAGAAAGGTGAGAGTCAGAGCTCACGTATCATGAATATTTTTTGTTGGCTTTGCAGGAGAAATTGCCACCCTTGGAACACCAAGGTAAGGTGCCTGTTTTTTGTGCTGTCAACATTTTTGTGCTTTATTTATATCCATAATAAAGGAATGTGGAATTTATGTACATTTTTAAAACATTTAACTGAACTTCCTTATGAATATTATCACATTCTTATGAAATCCAAACATGTAATTAGGAAGACCACTCTCATATTTGTAAATAATACTCACATATATACAAAAGTAATATTTTTTGCTACTCATGCTAAAAATTCTACTTCCTTAAATGTGCATTACTTGGGTAATTGAGCACTAATGTCTTCATGACATTTTGCAAGGGGCTACTGTTATCCATTCCCTCATTGCTCTTTCCTCTACTCATAAACTCATTTTGTAAATGAATACCTATTATGTTTGAGAAAACAAACAAACAAAACAATGCTTTTTTCAAAAGAGTCTTCCTGGTATCTTCTTATAGGGCAGGTGTTTTTGTAATAAGTAGAAAATTGAAGGAGATCCTGTAAAACAAAGAGCGGGAAAGAAACAGTCTTCATGTACCAATGTTCAAAGGTGATTTTTGCCTACCAAATGTGCCTCAGTCTGCCTGCCCTGTAATACTCTCCCGGCTTCATGTGTGTCATATCCCTTCTGACATCTTGAAAAAGTCATGCAAACCCTCAGTGAAAGTTGCCACAGTATTTTTACATGAATCATGTCATGCTTTCTGCCTTTTTGGATGCCAGTGTTCCTGAGACGGTGTCATCTACAAACACTTTCCTTCCTTGCCTTTCTCCTCTCTGTCACAGAAATGGACCCAATGAATCTCTGGAGCCTTCCTTATCCAGGTCCTGTAACACAAACTCTCAAGAACCTTCCTACTTAGAGTCACTAGCCCTAGTGGATCTGCAGCCAGTGTACAGCAATGGTGAGGACTCCCTAGGAGACAAAGGGAGGGAGGAGAGCAATGGCCATAGGCCAGTCACATCCAATGTTAATACAACATTCCTGGCATTATGTTGGGGAATAGAAGGTTGTTATGAACTTAGGGACTCAGAAGAAGAATCTAGCATGTGGTCTGTGGACTACAACAAATTATAAAAACTTGAGTTTTCTCCCACAGTAAACCCTGGAACCAATCTGGTGTATTCTCAGATCATGTGCACCCAACATGCAAAAGAAAATTCAGGTAAGACTCTTTGCAGACAAACTAATGGAAGGGTGGTAGTGTGGTATTATGTCCAGCAAAGGAGTCTTTGATTAACGAATCTCAAATACAAGTCCAACATGGAAGCTCTTCCTGTATTGTAAATGACATCGCATATCCATTCCCTTGTATATTATAAACTCCTTGAGGACAGACACAATGCAATTTTTTTTTTTTTTTAAACTAATGTGTTCCTAACATCTAGCACAATTCTTGGAGAACTGTAGACCACCTGAAATATTTTTTTAATGAATAAATTCACTATTTATAAATTGACACATTATCTACTAAATTAAGACTCTCATAATCTAATAAATTGTTGTTGTTGTTAAATGCAGTCAAGTCAATGTTAACTCATAGCAACTCTGTATAGGCTTTCTGAGGCTGTAAATCCTTGAGGGAGCAGAAAACCTCATTTTTCTTCCATGGATCAGCTGGTGGGCTCAAACTGCCCACTTTGTGGTTCACAGTCCAGTGCTTAACATATGGAGCCACCTCACTCCCTAATCTAATAGTTAGACAATTGTAATTTTTTCAACTGGTCTCTTTATTTTCATTTTGCTATATTCCAACTTTCCAGCAATCTGTTTCCAGCATCCCTGAGATGCACAATTGATCACATCATTGTCTAGATTGAACACCCTCACTGTCTCCATTTCAAATCATGACTTCTGCCTTTCTCTATACTCTGACCTCCCAAGTTCTTTTTTATGTCCTCATTTTTCTGTTGTTAAGTGCTGTCGAGTCATTCCTGACTCATTGTTGTTGTGGTTATGTGCCATCAAGTCAGTTCCGAGCCATAGTAACCCTGTATAGGGTTTCCGAAGAGGTGCTAGTGAGTTTGAAGCACCCACCTTGTGGTTCAAACCAACTTTGTAGTCTAGCACTTATTCTACAACTTGCCCATTCCCCCTCTACTGCCATCTCGTGTATTCCAACTCATAGTGACCATAGAAGACAGAGTAGACCTGCTCCATAGGGTTTCCAAATTTAAAAATCCTTATGGAAGCAGACTGCTCATCTTTTTCTCACGGAGCAACTGGTGGGTTCAAACCAATGGTCTTGCAGTTATTAGCCCAACCCACTGTCTCACCAATGTTCCTTTCCTATTCATACCAGCTACTTTGTCCTTCACTGCTCATTCTTCTCATTTATCTTGGAATGTCCTTGCCCATAGTTTACCTGTTGACCTCTGCTAACATTTCAATACTCAGGTCAAGTACTACTGTGAAACTTATAGAGACTCAACTACCCCTCCCTATCCCCTACCCAAGAAGAACTGACAGCCCTTTGTAGCATAAGGTAGTTAGGTATGTATTTCTACTTTTTGCATTGTTTCTGTGTCCATTCGTTCTCTTCAAAGTTATCTAATGTTTAATAGATGGTCATTGTTCAATGAATGCTAATTGGATGGATACAAGCACCTCTTGGGAGGGAAGAAGACACAAACTGAGTTTTCTTATTGACTCCAAAGCAAAACGTTGACTCCTTGAGAATCTGCTATGTGGCCTTAGAGTAACAATACTTTCTATGGTGGTGGTGGTAGTGGTGTGCCGTGGAGTCGGTTCTGACTCACAGCAACCCTGCATAGGGTTTTTGCTCCCGTAAAGGCTATAAATCTTTATGGGAGTAGAAAGCCTCATCTTTCTCCCCTGGAATGGCTGGTAGATTTGAACTGCTGACCTTGAGGTTAGCAACCTGACTCGTAACCACTACACTACCAGAGCTCCTCTAAGGCCACCTCTAATTTTCCTGTGCAAAGTGAAATGAGTCATGCTGTCCCCATTTTTACAGATGATCAATACATTTATAGAGGCCCTGAGAGGCAAAATGGAGGCCCTGAGAGGGAAAGAGGGCCTCTTCTAAGGTTGTAATGAAACTGAGGAGCAAGAAGAAAATGTCAGGAGAGCTTCTGGGCAGCTGGTGCGCAGAGGATAAACTTTTTTAGTATGTGTATATGTGTGTTGGAGCATGCTTTATCTGTAGGGATTTGGAGGAACTCCACAGAGGAAAAGTCAAGACATAAAATAGCAGAAGAGAGATGGGCTTGGAATGCATTGTCCATGGTTTAATATTCTTTCTTCCTCTCATCCAGCAGTAAATTCATCAAGAATACATCAGGAAGATAAGGTAGGCAGAGTTTCCTGGCTTCCTTTCTCCTTGGCTGATCCTTTTCTATATTTTGGTACTCATTTTTTGTGTTTTTACTCAGGAATCCACAGTCTTATATTCAGAGGTGAAGAAGGCACACCCAGCGCAGGCCTACAGTACAGAGAAGGAAAACAAAGATGCTACAGAAAACTATGAGAATGTCCCATGCATATCATCAGCCTCACAGCATTAGCCCCTTACCCAGAGAGAACCACAGAGACCCTGGGAAAGCAGACTGTGCCATTCTTCCTGTTCTTTCTAACCATGAACTTCCTTACTTCCCAGACTCTCTCTCCAAGGAAACTGGGTTGCAGGAGGTGCAAGGCTATGTTCACCTTCTCTGTGCCTGACTCTATGTGCTTTCTGGAATACAATGGGCAACATTTGAGCAAGTGCCTCTTTCTTTCCACCATGGAGACCCATAGTGGGGCAGATGGGTTTTCAGCTTCTGGGACTGTGAAATAGAGGAGAAAACTGGTCTAGCAAGATGACAAGGGTATATTCTTGGACTTTGACCTAGATAATTCTGATTGGAAATCTTGATGTGCTCTCTGTCAATAAACATTTTTCTGTCAACATTTTGTTTCCTTTTTGTGTGGATGATGCTTTGATATACAAGTATGTACTATGCTCCTGTGACCAAACTGGAAACAATCAAAGCAAGGTGACTCTGGGGAATTTTTATGCATATAGGATGACACTCCCAACTAAGAAACTTCAGTTATAATGAAAAATTACCTCAATATTGCATTAAGTAATCTGGTTTAGTATGTGACCCTTCTGTCCCTACACCAGGGGCCTAAGCTGCACAAAATTACATTAATCATAATCTTTGCTTTATAACAATCTACCTCATCATTGTCATGCATGACCCACTCTAGTTGGTTTTCTAGTTTTAATTATGTTAGAATGATTCATTAACTCCCAAAACATAACATACTATTTCCAATCTGTTATGGCTGAATTGTGCCTCTCTCCTGACCTCTGATAAAATACCTTAGAATCCTAACCCCTATCTATACATGTGAATTTCATCCCATTTGAGAATAGGGTTCTCTATGTTCTGTTAATGGAACTATATCAGTCTATAAACCAAAACCAAAGTTACTACCCTTGAGTTGATTCCATGCCCTATAAACTACAAAGTTTCACTTTCTTATAGGTTCCCAAGACTGTAGTCTTTACTGAAGCAAACTGCCACTTTCCCCCACAGAGCAGCTGGTGGGTTCCAACTGCCAACTTTTTGATTAGCTGCTAAGTGACTTAACCATGACATCACCAAGACTCCTAGAGTGGTGTAGGGTGTGTCTAAAGTGAATCCTTTTTTAAATATAAAAGAGCAGATTAGACACAGAAGGAAACAAGCAGTTCAGGAGTTAAGATGTTCTTCTATGATTCTATTTTTAACCCTTTGCCATCCTCTTCAGCATCAAAATGATGGAATACTATTCATTCAATACATACAATAATATGTAAGGATAAATTGTGGATTCCTGGTGTGGCACTGTTGGCTCATCACTGGATTGCAAACCACAAGGTCAGCAGTTCAAACACACCAGCTGCTTCTCAGAAACCCTATACAGGGTTGCTGTGAGTCAAAACCAACTTGACTGCACTTAATAACAACAACAAGGATAAATGAACATGTCCATGGTTATGCTTTCAAATAATTCTTTACAGGTAACTCCTAAAACAGTTTATACATGTTGATCTTATTTTTGTAAAAAGAAGTAAGAAGCTCTTCTCCTTCCTCTTCTTTCTGCCCTCTCTTCTTCTCCCTCTTCTTCTTTCTGCCTTCTTCTTCTTCTCCCCTTCTTTCTGCCTTCTGCCTTCTCTCTCCGGCAGAGGTCACCTTCCTCTTCCTAACCCTGAATAAAAGTCTCTAGACAGACAAAAAAAAAAAAAAAGAAGTAAGAAGGCAATGAATAAATATATTGGTTATATAAATAAAGACAGATATTCATAAACTATTCATAGAGTTTATTTCTGGGTAATAATTATCATTTTTTATTTGTAATGTTTGGCTTATTTAATACAAAAGTCTGCTTCCCATTCTTCAAATATTAATTTCCTTTATTATAATGGATCCCTGTTAGCACAGTGGGCTGAGCATTAGGCTGCTAACTGGTCAGCAGTTCATATCCACCAGCAGCTCCATGGATAAAATATGAGACTATCTGGTTCCATAAAGATTTCATTTAGGAAACCTTAGAAAGCAGGTCTGCTCTGTCCTGTAGAGTTGCCCTTGAGTGGGAGTCTACTCAATGGCAGTGGGTTTGGTTTTTCTTGTTTATCATTTTGTTGGCAAAGGTTTGGGGAAATAGATTATTCCACCCTGAAGATGTATCATTAAATCACTAAAGCTTTTTGTTGTTGTTGTTGTTTACTTTTTATTGTAAATTGGGTAAAGGGTTACAAAGAAGAACTTTAGTTATACATACCACAAATTGTACACAATTCATTTCATCTTATTGATTGCAATGATTGGTTCCCATGTACCATTATCAATTCCACTTCCTCTCTGTGTTTCGTCTTTCCATTTCTTCTTTGCCAATCCTTCTGAATTTGTC